ATAAGTCAGGAGACAGAATCAGCTCCCTTACGGGGAGTAATCAACACAATTGCAGGTGGCTTTGCTAGGGGAGGCGCCAGCAGCTCGGCCCGAAAAAGACACCTGCGAAGTATCAACTGCGCCCACTCTACCGTTTCAGTCTCACACCAGAGCTCGCCGCCGATCTCTTTTTTTGACGAGGACTATGCAGGCGTTAGCCCTAACCAAGATGATCCCATGGTCATCGTGGTGGAAGTCGCCAACTGGGAGGTACAAAAGACACTCATCGACCAAGGAAGTTCGGCCGACGTCCTGTACTGGCCAACGTTCCTCAGGCTAGACGTCCCCCATTCTCTCATCCAACCGCATACAAAGCCCCTAATCAGCTTTGCAGGAGAGCGGGTTCACACTCGCGGGTACGTAGACCTATTGACAACCTTCGGGGTACCCCCAGATGCAAGGAGAATCATGGTTCGATACCTCCTCGTGGAGGCCAACACCTCCTACAACATCATCATCGGGAGGCCAACCCTGAATCATCTCGGCGCGGTGGTATCCACTCCGCACCTCACCATGAAGTTCCCAGGGAATGACGGTAAGATCATCTCCGTCAAAGCAAACCAGAAGACAGCTCGGCAGTGCTACGCCGAAAGTCTGAGGATCTCCTCGTCCGGCAAGGAAAGCAAGGGGAGTCCCCCCACCGTAACCCACTAGATCCCATTCTTCTTTAATGTACGAACAAAGTTGTGCACTCTTTTCCCGCCTCAGTCCCTGACTGAGAGGGTTTTTAACGAGGCACACAAAAATAATCAATAAAATTATTCGTTTTGCTCAATCCATTTTCTTACCTGTTGCTTTTGTAAAAATCAAAATTGAACTAGCCTCTTTTATGCTTATCCGAGGTCGAGTCCGAACCTCTCTAAAAATATAAGGTCGAATACGAACCTTAGCACATTCATTTAAGGTCGAAAACGAACCTTAACACATCTCATTTAAGGTCGGATACGAGCCTTAGCACGATTATCCGAGGTCGAGTCCGAACCTCTCTAAAAATATAAGGTCGAATACGAACCTTAGCACATTCATTTAAGGTCGAAAACGAACCTTAACGCATCTCATTTAAAGTCGGATACGAGCGTTAGCACGATTATCCGAGGTTGAGTCCGAACCTCTCTAAAAATATAAGGTCGAATACGAACCTTAGCACATTCATTTAAGGTCGAATTCGAACCCCAACACTCAAAGCCAAGGTCGAGTGCGAACTTCGGCCAAATTATAAAGGTCGAGTTCGAACCTTCATTGAATCGTCGTATTCAAATAGGAGGTCAAGTTCGAACCCTAACACGCTTACTCAAGGTCGAAAACGAACCTTAACGCATTCATATAAGGCCGAGAACGAACCTTAACGCGCTTCTTTAAGGTCGAAAACGAATCTTAACGCATCTCATTTAAGGTCGGATGCGAACCTTAGCACGATTATTCGAGGTCGAATCCGAACCCCAGCATGGTCAAGGTCGAACATTAGCGCGTTTTCTTAGTTAAAATACGAACCTCAACACACTCATCTAAAGGTCGAGAGCGAGCCTTAACGCATTTATCTGAGGTCGAGTCCGAACCTCAACATTACAAGGACGAGTTCGAACCTTCACCAAACAACTACACTCACATCCGGAGTCGGGTCCGAAACCCCCCTAAAACTATGAGATCAAATACTAATTCAGGTCGAACACGGATCACATCTGAGGTCGAACACGAACCTCGATGTCCCCGCCTAAAGGTCAAGTCCGAACCTTAGCCAAATCATTGTACTCAAAATTGGGGTCGAATTCGAACCCTGGCTCAATTGTTCCATTCAAATTGGAGGTCAAAGTACGAACCCCAAATGTGCAAGTTCCGAGGTCGAGTACGAACCACTTACCTGAGGGCGACTTTGAACCCTGGCAAGGCACACCCCACTCTCAATATCGGGGTCGAATTCAAACCCCGGCACGACCGACTTAAGGTCAGATTCTGACCTTGACTCCAGTCTAGGGTCAATTATGAACTTTCACAACGATTACTTAGTCCAAATTCGAGATCAAATACGAACCTTAACACATTCATCTAAGGTCGAGTTCGAACTCCCACGAAATATTTTATTAAACAAAAAACTGAGGCCGACCTCGAACCTCGACTTCACCAACTCAAGGTAGAAGTATCGCCATATACAAAAGCATATAACAGACACCAAACGTGTGCCTCAAACAGTGCGAACAACCAAAATCGAACGCAAATATGGACAAGATAGAGCAAAATATATATACATATAAACAAAGTTCTCAAAATTCAATACATAAACTCAAGCAAAAGAAAAATAAACCAAGTTATTACAAAGGCGGCCTAGGCTGAAGCACCCCCGCTAGAACTGTCATCGGCATCGTCCTCCTTGACTAGCCTCCCAAAGCGGACGACTTTCTCGACATGCATGGAAGAAAAGTCGAATCCGGGAGCTAGAAGTCGTGCTTGACGTGCAGCCTTTTGGAAGCCCCTCTTGTGCTCAGCCACAACGGAGCGTTCGACCTCCGCAAGCCTCTTCTCCGCGGCCGCCTTCCCTGCTGCCAGCTCTGCAAGCTCCGCCCTCAAGGTGGCGATTTCATCCTCCCGGCCACCTAGAACGACCTCGCTGCGGAGGCGCTCCTCAGCCACCGCCGCCAACTCTCTTTTGAGAGCGGTTACAACATCCTCCAGAGCCTGCACTTGGCCACGGGAAGACGTCACCTCATCCTCCAGAGAGCGAGCGCGGCCCCGAGAGAAGGTGACGAGCTCCTGCAGCTCCCCCACCTGAGAGGCATAAGCCTCGTTAGATCGCAATGCGATCTCAAGAGACTTCTGCACCCGTGCAAGATTGCCACGCGCAGATCGGAGCTCAGCCTCCTGCCGCTTCGCCTCACCAAGGGCTGCGCTAAGAGCTTTATTCTCCTCCCTCAGGATCTTGTTCGCCTCCTTCCAGGGTTGAAGTCGGCCCCTCAACTTGGCCAGGTCCTCTTGATGCTTGGCCAAGTCCTCCCATTGCTGGCCCCACTTAGGCTTCCAATGGCTCATTATGCCCATAACCCTCTACAGCATGACCTGGGCAGCATCAAAATTGTCCTTAGGACCGACCTCGTCAATCAATCCCTGGTCCTCGGAGCTAAACGAATCCTGAGGGAAGAACCTCTCCACAGTCACCCCCGCGCTCCACAACGAATTCATGTCCACGGAGGCGCTCACGTGGTCCAGCCGCACCTTGTCAAGGCCCTTTAGGCTTCCAATGGCTCATTATGCCCATAACCCTCTACAGCATGACCTGGGCAGCATCAAAATTGTCCTTAGGACCGACCTCGTCAATCAATCCCTGGTCCTCGGAGCTAAACGAATCCTGAGGGAAGAACCTCTCCACAGTCACCCCCGCGCTCCACAACGAATTCATGTCCACGGAGGCGCTCACGTGGTCCAGCCGCACCTTGTCAAGGCCC